AGCATTATGTAGATCAACAGATAAGGAATCAAAATCTTTAACCTTTTCAGATTCTGAAAGAGAAGAGAAATTGTTTACCTTCTTTGGTTTGGTTGGATCTTTGGCTTTCTTGGAGGTAGAAGGTACATCAGCAGCAGTAGAGGTGTATCCCTTCTCAGAGTCTTCTATCTCCCGTATTTTAGCCATAAGACATAGATGTGCCATATCCTCATCACTAGAGGAAGAGTTCAGCTCATCAATCCAGACATGAGTCTCAGCTATGAGACCCTTACCTTTTCTATGAAAGCTCTAGTTCTTTGCCTTTTCTCTCTTGTACTTTGTTTTGTACTTGCCGTGAGAGGATCGGCTTGTGGGTTGAGAGAAATGATGATTAGAGATCTTCTTGCTTTTGCACTCCGCAACAAAATGACCTTTCTTACCACAGTTGAAAGACTCCTCATTGGACTAGTCAAGAAGAGCTGACTTAGGTTGATCTAAGGTTCTTCGGTCGGTGATCTTAGATCTGGGAGAGAACTTATAAAAACCCTTTTTGGCGTACTTTTGAAGTTGGTACACATCATGGACATATTGTCAGCTAAGTCATCAACTATGGGTCCTCACCCTCATGATCAACATCATCAGCATAGCTTTTAGCAATTTCTTCTTTTCTGACAGCTTCTACATCAGATTCAATCAGATAAGTGACACGAGGTTCACTCACTGACTACCTCGTATCATTACAGAGAAGAGCGACATGAGTACTTTTAGGATCTTTTAAGAATGCCTTTTTTAGAAACTTAGTTTGCTCATAATTATGGAGAGTTCCATAAAGAGCAGTAAGAGACATATGCTCAAGATGTTTTCTTGTCTTGATACAAGTACAGATGTTTTCCCAGAAATTTGGTAAACAGTCCATGAACTTGCACAAGATTTCTTCATTTTCATAGACTCTACCATGAAGTTTTAGATCGTTGAGGAGGTTGTTAAACCTATTATAGTACTCAGTGAGAGATTCACCTTTCCCATGCACAAAGAGCTCATATTGCCTAACAAGGCCAATCTTCTTGATTTTCTTTACTTCAATGGTTCCTTCATATAGAACACAAAGGGTATTGCACATGTACTTAGAAGTAGTGAGGTTCATCAAGGAGTAGTAAACATCATAGGGAAGAGACAGGGCAATGATAACCCTTACCTTGGTATCCGAGGAAACTTTCCTTTTGTCATCTTCATTGTACTGTGAAGGATCTTTGATGATGAACCTTCCAGTAGAATCAGATTTCTCTTCATCATCATCAGAATCATTTGAAGAGTCACCTTTATCTTTGTTCTTTCCATGACGAAGCCAGACTTTTCAACAATAGGGCCATCCTTGAGGATAGAAAGATATTGACTATCAACACCCTTAAGGAAGAGTGTCATGCAACTTTTCAACAAAGGAAAGTTGTTCTTGTTGAACTTTGGAGGCTTGGCAATGGTGCCATTGTCTTGGTAAGAAGAAGGAGCGGAGTTGGAAGAAGAATAGGCCATTACAGATCTAGCTTATGAGATTAAGCTAACTGCTCTGATACCACTTGTTGGTCCCGAATGGGATGGCAATAAACCTTAAGTAATTATAGAATGGGGGTTAAATACAATTACACAGACTTTTTACAACTTTTTAATTCTTATTGATGTATATCAAGAATTAACACACAAAGATACAATAAAGGTTGTTGTGGAAGAAGGAAATGATAACCTAAGCTAAACAATCTTACAAAGAGAAGAACTTACAAGAATAACACATAGAGTACTTGCAATGTAATGAAGAACACACTAAATTTTTCTTGATACACGGGAGACTAGAGGAGTAGAAGAACAGAGTTGATTGCCTTGAGAAAGCACCTAGTAGTTCTTTCAAGGAAGTGTATTTGCATGGGAGATTGACGCAGTAGGTTGCGTGGAATAGGATCGACCAGCGTCAACCGAAAAGTAAATAAATTCCACAAGCGTGAAATTAAACAAGAACTCGTAAAACGGTAAGCAAAGCAAAGCTAGGTTGTATTGATAATCTAAAATCCTCCAAAATAGCTATTAACATGGTTCTTAAATAGACTAGGAAATAAAACGAAATTAGGAAACGTCTAGAAAAAAGGAAATTAAATAATAAAGGAAACTAAATAATTAAAGGCAAGCAGTAAAAAGGAAACTAAATAATTCGATTGCGTTTTCCTTCGATCTGTCGGGCCAGGCGACCCGTATCAGTCTCCTCCACCTCTAAAGAACTCGACCCCGAGTTCTCTTCCAAAGGGAGATCATCTGCATAGTAATCGTACAGATCCGCGACATTAAAGGTGTTGGAGATGTGAAGCGAATCGGGAAGGGCGACGACATAGGCATTGTTGTTGATTTTTTTGGTGATCTTGAAAGGTCCGTACTTCTTGGGTTGGAGTTTGCCGTAGGTTCCAACGGGAAATCGTTCTTTTCGGAGAAAAACCATCACATCATCACCTATCTGAAAAACTTTCTTGCGACGTCGTTGATCYGCGACTTCTTTGTTCTTCACACCAATTTGTTTCAAGCGAGCTTTGACGTTTTCTTTTATGGCTTGAACATCTTTAGCCATATTCTCCGCGGCAACACTCGATCCAGGTAGACGTGGGAGTTTGACTAAGTCAACAACATGCTTGGGAGCCGTTGTGTAAACRAGAGAGAAAGGGGARCAACCGGTCGCCGAATGAGTTGCACTATTGTAGGCGAATTCGATTTGGGATAAAGCGAGATCCCACTGTTTCGGTTTACCACTACAAACACTTCTAAGCATGTTTCCCAACGTTCGATTGGTTAYCTCAGTTTGACCATCGGATTGCGGATGCGCCGTGCTACTTTTRTTGAGTGAGGTACCAAACAATCTCCAAAGAGTGATCCAAAAGTGACTTAAAAACTTCGAATCACGATCGGAAGTAATAGTCTTGGGAACCCCATGAAGGCGTACAACTTCTTTGAAAAATAACTTGGCGATATTACTTGCGTCGGCTGTCTTTTTGCAAGCAATAAAATGTGACATCTTTGAAAAACGATCTACGACGACAAAAATAGAGTCAACGCCTCGTTGCGTGCGGGGTAAGCCAAGAACAAAATCCATGGACAAATCTTGCCATATGTCGTCCGAAACCGGTAGTGGTAAGTAAAGGCCGGTGTTTTGACTTTGGCCTTTGGCGGTTTGGCATGTATAACACTTGCAAACAATGGCGCCAACGTCGCGCCTCAAACGGGGCCAATAATATCACTCAATGACACTAGCGATGGTTTTGTCTCGGCCAAGATGCCCACTTAGACAYCCTCCATGTAAATCTCGTATCAACTTTTCGCGAAGAGAGGAATTAGGGATGCACAATTGATTACCTTTAAAAAGATAACCGTCGTTGATATAGTAATCATCCATCGGTGTTCCGCCTTTGCATTTGGACCAAAGAATTTTGAAGTCATCATCGTCCTCGTATTGATCCTTAAGAACTTCAAACCCGGTAATCTCTTGAGAGAGAGTGACCATCAAGGTAACACGCCGACTCAAGGCGTCGGCTACTCGATTAAGTACTCCCGACTTGTGCTTGATCACAAAAGAGAATTTTTGCAAGTAACTTACCCAACATGCGTGCATCTTATTCACCAATTTTTGACTATTGATGAATTTCAAGGCTTGATGATCGGTAAAAAGAACGAACTCTTTTTGTACGAGATAGTGTTCCCATTGTTTTAAAGCACGAAAGACCGCATAAAATTCTTGATCGTAAGTGCTCCACTTTTGTCTCGCCTCGCTTAGCTTTTCGCTAAAGAACGCAATCGGTTGTTTTTCTTGGGATAGGACGGCTCCTACTCCCACACCACTTGCGTCACATTCGACTTCAAAAATCTTGCTAAAATCGGGAAGTGCGAGAACCGGTGTTGTGCTCAACTTTTCTTTGATCAACGCAAAGCTTTGATCTTGAATGGGCCCCCATTGAAATTTCCCTTTCTTTAAGCACTCGGTGATGGGTGCGGTGATCGTACTAAAGTTTTGCACAAATCTCCGGTAAAAGGTGGCCAAACCGTGGAAACTTCGAACATCGGAAACGGTTTTYGGTGTCGGCCATTCKTTGATTGCACGTACCTTCTCTTCATCAACTTCGATTCCGGATTCTCCCACAACAAATCCCAAAAATAAGAGCTTACTTGTACAAAAAGTACACTTTTTGATATTGATGTAGAGTTTACTATCTTGGAGCACGGAAAGAACTTTTCGGAGATGCATTAAGTGATCATCTTTGCTTCGGCTATAGATGAGGATGTCATCGAAATACACGACCACGAAGGATCCAATAAAAGGGCGAAGGACTTGATTCATCGTCCTCATAAAAGTGCTTGGCGCGTTGGAAGTGCCAAAAGACATGACAAGCCATTCGTATAGCCCAAAAGGTGTTTTGAACGCCGTCTTCCATTCATCACCCGGACGGATCCGGATTTGGTGATAGCCGCTACGAAGATCAATTTTGGAAAACACCTTTGYGCCGGCTAGTTCATCAAGCATATCCTCAAGACGAGGAATGGGGAACCGGTATTTGATGGTGATTTTGTTGATGGCGCGRCTATCAACACACATCCTCCATTGGTTGTTCTTTTTTGGTACGAGAAGGACGGGGACGGCGCACGGGCTAAGACTTTCACGAATGAATCCCTTCCGTAAAAGATCTTCGACTTGATCCCTCAGAATTTCGTTTTCCTTGGGGCTCATCCGGTAGTGGGGAAGGTTTGGTAAATTAGCACCGGGAATTAAATCAATTTGGTGTTGGACGTCCCTCATAGGTGGTAGTTCGGGTGGGAGGTCATCGGCGGTTAATTCTTTGAAATCCCGTAAGATCTCATCGACTTCCGTCGGAATCTCGAAAACGGTCTCTTCAGTGTGCATCAACCCTTTGACGACAATTGGGCAAAAAAACTTGAGATTCCTTATATGCTCTCTCCATGTCTTGCTCGTTTGATGTTACGACCAAGAAACTCATGCTTTACTTTTCCGGGACTTTATCAAATCGGGCAACGGGTGCTGTGGCAATTTTTCGATCGCCCCATTGGAATAGCATCACGTTGTCTCTTCCCTTGTGAGTAACGTTGTTGTCGTATTGCCATGGTCGTCCGAGTAATATGTGGCATGCATCCATATCCAAAACATCACAAAGTACTTCTTTGTAGTATTTGCCAATAGAAAGAGGAACCTTGCAAACTTGAGTCACTCGTGCTTGCGGCCCTTTCTTGACCCATCCAAGTGCATACGGCGATTCGTGAGGTTGAGTCGGTAGACCTAAGTGATTGACAAGCTTTTGAGCCACCAAGTTTTCGCAACTACCATTGTCTATGATCACATTGCAAATCTTTTTGTTGATCGAGCAATAAGACCGGAAGAGGTTTTTTCGTTGACCGTCTTCTTTTGGGGAGAGAAGAACTCGTTGGAGTACGATATTGACTTTTTCTTCCTCGAAATCTTCTTCTGCAAAATCAGCGCCTTCGTACTCTTTTTCTTCGTCGTCGTATTCTTCTTCGTTCACAAGCTCGGTGGTTCTCCGGTTGCTACATTTGTTCGACTTATGACCCGGTAGGCCACAACGATAGCACTTAGGAGCCGATGGTTTCGCGTAGGGGTTCGTGGGTTTTGGTGCGGTTGGCTTGGCGGTGGTTGTGGTTTGAGGGGGATCGGAATCACGTAGAGTCGGGCGAGTTACTACGTTTTTTCCTTTGTCGGGATTTGAGCTAGGGGCGTCGGTGGAGGTTTGAGTGGGGTAGCGACGGTATAGAGATCAGGTGGTTTTCTCCATTAACTCGGCTTTTATGGCCAAATTGGAAGCTTCAGAGATGGTCCACGCGGTTTGGAGTCCGATTTTTTCTTGGATGGAAGGCTTCAAACCGTTGATGTAGCGTGCGACTCTTTGACCCTCCGTTTCGCCTACCTCRTTTCGATCGGAGTAACGRATAAACTCCGTTGTGTATTCGGACACGGATCTGGAACCTTGGGAACAATCCAAGTACATTCGGTAGAGAATYTGTTCGTAATCCTCCGGTAGAAAACGATCTGACATTAATTGYTTCATTCGTCTCCATGAACGAACCGGGCCCTTGTGTTGTCGTTGTCGTTGGGTGGTTAAACGATCCCACCAAACGGCGGCGGTGTTTTTTAAGCGGAAAGCCACCATCTTGACTTGCTTATGSTCTGGGATTTCCATGATTTCAAAGAAACGGTCAACCTCGATTTGCCAATCGAGGAAGTCTTCGACGCCTACGTTTCCATGGAAGTAAGGGATGTCGGCYTTCATTCGGTAGTCTGGATCGTTGCGAGGTGGTCGCTCTTCCTCCTCAGGTTCTGATTCGRAACTAGAGTGAACGCTAGGGGCTAGTTGATGACGGGGTGGTGGTCTACGATCGGGGTGTCTGTCTCTTACCGGACGCCTGTTGATGAGAGTACTGATTCGATTGATAAGGGTGTCTTGTGAGTTGGTGAAGGCRTTGGTTAGAGCCGTGGTGAGAGCCGCGGTAAGGTCGTCAAAATCGGCTCGGGTGAGGGGTTGGTTGTCTCCCATTGCGGGGTTGGGGAGAGACAGGAAACTGTGCTCTGATACCAACTGACGCAGTAGGTTGCGTGGAATAGGATCGACCAGCGTCAACCGAAAAGTAAATAAATTCCACAAGCGTGAAATTAAACAAGAACTCGTAAAACGGTAAGCAAAGCAAAGCTAGGTTGTATTGATAATCTAAAATCCTCCAAAATAGCTATTAACATGGTTCTTAAATAGACTAGGAAATAAAACGAAATTAGGAAACGTCTAGAAAAAAGGAAACTAAATAATAAAGGAAACTAAATAATTAAAGGCAAGCAGTAAAAAGAAACTAAATAATTCGATTGCGTTTTCCTTCGATCTGTCGGGCCAGGCGACCCGTATCAGAGATGCATATTGCCTTTTATACTACCTTCAGCATTAAATGCATGGGGACACTTGTCACCTGAGGATAAGAAGGCAGGGGTTGACTTGACCGTTGTTGATATCTCATTTTTAATCGTGCACCGCGTGCATACAACATTGTTCACGTAGAGACAAACTTTTGCAGAGATATGGATTAGTATCTTCAAACAGCTACTTACAAATCTTTGATATATGAAGATCTTCCTTCAATCGACATGTAGCTTCAAAATATCTTCAATCTTCAAATCAGCTATTCTAGAATCCTGGTGTGTAATTTAGATAGTTGATCCACAGTACCGCATTGGTGACCTTTTGTCTTCACATCTGCTAGATTTTACCAATAGCTTTAAGTATGTACCAAGACACCAATATACAAATAAACCAATAACTACTAAGTGTTGATAGGATAGATGAACAGATCAGTGGGTCATCACAAAATCAATAGGTGACACAACAATGATATATATAAAAAATAAAAACTATTTAATATATAACTAGCTAATAGGTAACTAAATGTGTGATTTGGAATATCAAAATAAAAATCTTGTGAAAATGTGACATAAAATAAAAATTAGAGTAAATTACATTTTTGATCCCTGTGCTTTGTCGAAAGTAACCCTTTTTGTCCCTATGGTTTCAAAATTATAGTTTAACAATCGTGGTTTGCAAAAACAACCGGATTTGGTCCCTGCATCTAATGGCCATTAAAAGAATTCGTTAAGTCAGGAGTCTTTTAGTCTTTTTATAATTTTAACTCATTTTTATTAAATGTAAATATACATATATATATATATATACACACACACACATACACACAGGGACGAAAAATTAACTTACTCTATTATATATATACAAAAGAGGTAACTTTTTAATATACAAATACAATTACATATACATATACACACATACATACATATACAACTAAACCCAAATTCAAACCTGAAACCCAAATCCAAATGAAAATGAAAACCAAAATCAAAATTCAAAATCAAAGTTTATTCACACACATTAAAAAATTAATACAATCTTTAGAATCAAAACAATAAAATCTTAACTCTAAATCAAACCAAGGGCACAAATCAAACAAAATCGTAAATCCAGATCTTCATGTTCAAAAACTAAAACAAAAATCTTGATATTCATCCCTACATCTTCATCTTCATCCAAAATCCAAACCATGAATCAAAAACTAATGATGGATGTGTGAAATAGGACCAGATATAGGTTAGTTGAGAGTCAGAAAAAGATGGTTGTGGTTGCCATTCGTTAAACCTAAGTCTTATGAGGTACAAACCAGAGGTGCAAATGGTGAAACCTAGGTATTCGGAGGTGTAAATCGGCCAGTACAAATCGTGAACCCAGGTTATCAACGACTATTTGTGCTTCATTGATGAAGATTGACAGTGCATGGGGAGATGTATGACATGGGGAAGGGACATTTCATCATGCAATGTTGATTAACAATGGTGTACTAGTTGCAAGAGGTGGGTGCGCCGAAAAGAGAGGCCGACGAAGAGAGACGTCGGAGAAGAAGGCGGGTTGCAGGAAGTGGGTGCACCGGCGAAGAAAGGAATCGGAGAAGAAGGTGAGTTGTAGGGGGTGTGTACGCCGGAGAAGAGAAGTCGGCGAAGATAGACATTAGAGAAGAAGGTAGGTTGTAGGGGGTGTGTGGGCAGGAGAAGAAAGGCCGACGAAGAGAGGTGTCGGAGAAGAAGGCAGGTTGGAGGGGATCGGTGCACCAGAGAAGAGAGCTCGACGAAGAAGAAGGTAGTCACAAGAATAGGAAGGAGCCGACGTGTCACGCCCCGTTTTTTTTTCTTTCATTCGAGTGTTGTGACGTCATTCTTAATAACTTATGTCATGAACAAAAACACGAACTTAAAATTTCAAACACACATAATATGTTTAACATAATTCGTTACATAATTGCGGAAGCGTAAAATAATTTAACGTAATCAATGCTAATTAAATATCTAATCAAACATGATTCAAAACATAGTTTCTTCTTTCCTCATTCAACGCGTTTACTGACAATTGATACCTGAGATATATACATGTATAGTATAAGCTAAAATCTTAGTGAATACAATATGGTTTCATGATCACATGCACATATAAACAATGTTTTAGTGTATTTTAGTTATTATCTTGCAAGTGAGGCCTCGGCTAGTCACTTTTCTTTGCGTATATGGCGTATTCTATGGACGAGGACTCCAAGACCTCGGAATTGCAAGCCCTCCTTTCATGTCCAACCCACCCCGTACGGTGGACGAATTTTGCCAAATCATACTAGTTACATATCATTTGTTTGCAATACTCACTCATTAATGCAAATCTCATCGTGACATGCAACATACATCTCGTGCAAATGACAACATAAATCACATATGCATCATCGTCATTTTCCACATTAAACACATACTTGAATATCATATTGATAATATCAAGTCATCATAATCTTTCTCATCAACGTCACCTTTCATATCATGCATAAATATCATGCACATCAAATAATCAAGTTATCATCATATGCATATAAACACATCATGCAAATATCATGGATAAAATACTTTTGTAATAATCATGTATATATCCCATAAAAATYGCATAATGTACTCACCTTGAATCGTTAACGTTCGATATGTCTTTCTCTCAAAAACCGCAACCTACATGATAATTTATACCATTCYTAAGCATCTTAAATAATCATAATTAAATTGATTACTATTACTAAACAATCTTAACACGACTTTTCTTAACATTTTTCTATTAATCAACCCCCCGATGCCATCATGTCTCATGTTTCGTTCAAATGTTTTCTTGAAATATTATTAATAATATGACGTCGTTATAATATTAATTGTTGTTCGTTCATTTTATAAAAATGTGCAATACACTTCACATTTTCTTGAACAATAAGTATTTTAACAAAATAATAACTAAACTAAATAGTTTGCAACGTAAGTAATGTTTTATGGTCAAAACGTCTCGTTTAAGATTTGCAAGAAAATAAAGGTGACAACATGTCACACACACATAAAAATAACGGTCATTCCATAATTTTAAAGTTCCACATAATTAATATTCGAAATAATGTTTAGAATACCAAATTTCCAAGTCTATGGGCATTTCAGTAATCTTAAGAAGCCTACCAAAGGTATAGCTTTAACCAATTTCCTAATTTAGAACCTTCTTGGTATATTTCATAACTCGAATATTAAAATTGTACTTAAAAGTCCAATCCCAAAGCATAGGGGCATTTTGGTAATTTTATTAAGCAAAACTCAAAGTATTGTTAAAATACCGATTCCCTAATTGTGAGGTCATTTTGGTAATTTCATAAGGATAATAATCAAAATAAAGCTTAGATACCAATTCCCAATACATAGGGTCATTTCGGTTATTTACAAGGCAAATACGTAAAGTATTGCTAAAATACCGATTTCTATATTGTAGGGTCATTTTGGTAATTTCATAAAGATTTTATTCAAAATAAATCTTAGATACCAATCCCAAGACATAGGGTCCTTTCGCTAATTTATAGAGCAAATACGTAAAATATTGCTAAAATATCGATTTCCAAATATAGGGTCGTTTTGGTAATTTTATAAAAATAATAATATAAAAATGAAGTTCATAGACCAATCCCCAAGATATATGGCTATTTCGGTAAATTTTGGAAGCAAATACGCAAAGTATTGCTAAAATACCGATTTCTCATTTATATGGTCATTTTGGTAACTAACGAGATAAATAATCTAAATTAAGTCAAAGATTGCATTTTACAAAATATAACAGACTTGATTAAAGTCTCGTAAAATTATATTGGACAAAAATATTTTCTGGAACTTCAGGGGTTAAATGGTAACTTCTGAAACTCGGACGTTAAGTACATATCAATAATATAATTGCATGAGATTAACAAAGCACAAGGCTAACTTACAGGTTAACGCCTCGACTCTATGAAGTTGAGGTCACGGGTTCGAGCCCCGCCCTCAACGCGCGCCTTTATCTCTAGTTTTTAAGAGTTAAACGAACGCGGGTCTTGGGTCCAACCCGTCCGACCCTCTAACTGACTCGGCGCTTGACCCAGTCGCATAAAGCAGCCATGGCTGCGCGATTTGGAGCTTTTCAACCTCGAAAATAGCTTGGTTTTTGACTTTTTTTCTTCATTCTTTTTGCACCAAACTCTTGGTAATATTTTTACCAACACTTTGACATGAAGAACACGAATTTTCATCAAGAAATGAGTTCTATTTACTCATTTAAAGTTTGTTTTTAAAACTAAAACTTAACAACTTAAAAACATAAAAATCGAACAACGAAAACACAAATATGAGACATGAGGCTACTGGGGTTTGATAGAGTACTTAAAAACGAAACCATAGACACAAAAACCATGAGATTTAGTTAAGAATCTCACCTAAATTCGGTGGAAAACCGAGATTTTCAATCCGAACTTCAAACTTAGATTTCTCTCTCAATATTCGCTCATTTTCTTAGCTATTTGAAGCAAAGTGATCTTAAGTCGGTGCTCTATATTTATATGCAAGAGTTTTGGCTTATTAGTTGATGAAATCGGACCAAATCACGAGTTTTTGGCTGATGGGTCGTTTTCT